AAAAAAAAAAAAAAAAAAAGGAAGACAACAGAAAATTTGCTTATCATTACCTAACCCACATGCATTTAATTCTGAAGAATGGGAATACATAGGGGGTTTAATTGATGATTGACTTTAAGTTTACAGTGTCCATTGGAGTCAACGTAAGGGTGATGTCAAGGACTCAATCGAGTTCCTGGATAATGTCTTAAAACTAAGAAGCAAACGAGACAAGTGATAATCTACTGAATTTTCTATAAACACTAACTAGGCTAGGGGCAATTTTCTTACAAGCAATTGGAGTGTCTTTCGGTATGCCGGAGCATTAGAGGCTAATCACTCAGTAAACCTCCTATTCCCTGCTAACTAGATTGATGAAATGCCAAGGGAGTCAGCAAAGTGTTAAGCCTAGTTTGGATATAATTACTTTCAAGTGGAAAAAAATTGCCACAAAACCGAGGACTTCCTGTTTAGGCAAACTCAAACCTTCACATTTTCTACTGTCATTAGTATCTTGATCAAATATAAAGAAAATGAAATGGGCAAAAATCTGACACATGATTAATGAGGACTTGCTAACAAACACTAAGACTGCATTTTACAAGGATTAGTTGAACTTCCAACTTTAACTGCCCTTGATTTAATGGTACCCATTGACCTCAATAATGAACGATTCATGTTATAGCAAAGCCATCTGGAGAACATGTATGAAATTGAACTAGGATATAGCCTTTCATATAACAAATTTTCCTTCCCCACCTTTCCCTTTCTGCAATTTGAAAAGAAAAGATAATAAAATTAAAGGAAAGAGTATTTCATAATGAAAGTATATTCCATTGCTCATTTAGAATAACAGCTGTACCATTTCAGTGACAAATATGATAGGAATAACAATCCACGTGTGCCACAGGCTTTTATGACTTCTTTAGCAATGACCTCACCTTCCTCTTCTCCTGGCTCTTATTACTATGAGTATCTGCAGGCATCCTTCTTACATAGTAATTCAAAGTCTTTAACTACCTAAAACAATGACCATGATAACAATGTTTCAAAGATAAAAATGCAGAATCAATTGATACTTGGAAAAAGGCCTACCTGAATGCTGGCTGTAGAGCGATTCTTACGGGTTGTGGTAGTTGCCATTGTAGTAGTGGTTTCCATGACAGTAGTAGACATTTCTGGTGGCATGGAGGTCGTCTGTGTTGTTCCCAAAATCGATGGGACTTCTCCAACCAGCCGAACACTTCCATTAATTTTAATATTGGGGTTGTTCTCAGCCGCCATGTTCAGTACTTTCAAACCATCATAATAGAGCCCAGAGAGTTGGCCTTGGAAGAGGCGTCCTTTGTCCTTTCCACCAATGGCTATTTGCGCCTGAGTGTTGAAGATGGTTAACTGCCGGCCTAGTGGGTTGGGTGGAGGAAACATTATTATTCTCATACATTTTCCCTGTTTGCCTTACCTGGTCTGAATGGACCAGGTATCATAACAGGCTTCCTTGAGCAATTTAAGGGGAGGAAAAGCTGGACCACAAAAACTCAGTACTGACATTAGCAAGTAACATTTCATTGCGGTTATCTCTTCCACTGCCCAGCTGAACATCTTTGATAACTTGAACAATCAAGTCTTTATTTCTTTATAGTGAGGAAGAAGAAATCTTGCTTCAATGATAAAAGGTATTACAGTCTTCCTGGGTATATAATTGTGGATGACAGAAAGAAACACTCAAATCAGGTGATGACCAGAGTAAATTATAGATAACTACTGCATTCGTTTTTAAAGTTACAAAGTAAAATAATGAGAATGAAAAGAATTATGTATAAAAAAAAAAAAAAAAAAACACCTCAGTGAGGTGACTCAGAAAACGAAATTTAAAAACTAAGTCTAATAGTTAAGTTACCTGAAATTAAATTCCAGTTAAGAGACTTGGATTCATTGCATACTTGTAAAAATGAACATTCTAGTCACCAAACATATTATTTCTTTTCAATCTTCATAGTGCATAATATTCTATTTTCTGTTTAAAAAATCATGAGAGATAAATTCCTGTCTTTAATAATTTGTTTTTGGGAGGATGATTATGGTCACAAAACTAAATTATTCCCTCAATATGAAATATAAGCATATTGGTAAGGCTCCAGTCCTGAGGAAGCTGTCCTTCAGATTTAACAAATTTTTAATAGTGGATGGGTATTAATGAAGAAAGCAACACATAAAACTCCTTAAAATGATACAAAGGTATGTTAATGGGGTTAAGGATATCAGTAGTTTACTATTTCAAGTTCCCACTTTGACACCATTTATACTTCTCTGAAAAGTATCAGAATGAAACCATACCAGAATAGAGTTTAGAAGAATAAAACCCAAATTATTCTCAACTATTTCAATTTATAAAAATCTCCCTCAAGTGCGAGATTTTTCCCGAGCAAATGCAAAGAGCTCTTTAAAACTTATTGCAATTTATCAGGACAGCAACATGCTAAGGCCTTCTTTACTGTTATTTCTCCAGATTACTTCATTTTGCTTTTTTATATGAAGGAAGGAAAAAAAGGCTTATTGAGGGAGTTAAATATATGTCTTCCTAATTTTTTCCACTTAGTGATCAAACAGTGCTCCACTCAATCTAATCACCTGAAGTACTTTAGCGAGAAATAACTAGAAACAATTTTGTTATTTTTGCCCACTTAATAAAAAGGACAGTGTTTTTAATAACAGGTTTTTGTTTTATAATTTCTAATATGAATAGAGAGACCCTGTGATGTTTGGGCTTTAAAAATCTACCACTATTACATGGTCTTCAAGGCTACACTATTTTGACCTATCCTTGAATTCCTGGTGTATAATGTGAAATACCTTCTCAATGTATGACAATGAAAGAAATGGAAGTGGCAGAGAAGGGAATGCTCATCTGCTCGGAGGATTCTCCTCACACAAGAATCAATTCTGCTCATTGAACGACTCATAGTGCCTATTAGTCAAGAATGATATCCCTTTGGAAGCTTTGAACACTGCAGTATGGTGACTTGGCCAGAGAATTTTGTTATGTTGGAAATGATCTATACTTTATAAAAATATCCAGAACCTGAAAATGGGATCTGCTGGCCTTAATGAGTACAGAATTACCCAGATCACAAGGGTGCAATCAAAAAGATTTTCATCATTTTCTCAGCAATTCATTCAGTGTGCTGTACATATGCACAATTGTATTTTGTACTCTGTACTTTTCACACAAGATGCAGCTGAAAGTTCAGTGCACAATAACACTAAGTAATGTGCTGGAGTTCATACCTTTTTACTGTTTATTTTTGATAACTAGTTTTTTTTTTTTTTTTTCCCCTGGAAGCCCTGAGCTTACTACAAAATAAATAAAATGATGGAAGGAGAAAATAAATTCTCCGTCAACCCCATAGAGGCATTGCAAGCAACTTAACATAATAAATGAGAAGCAGCTGCCTAATAGGAGATTTCTAGGATAAAAAGTCAGTATCTTACATTAGACAGCCTTTATGCCAAGAGATACCTTCCAGGCACACAACTGCTGACCAATCATAATATTTATTCATCTATTTTGTATATAGTTCAGCACTGGTGATAAGTTATACTCGATTACAGGTAGAAAATTTTACATTCTAATGTTCTTGAAAATATTTCACAATGATAACCTCTATAATAGTTCTCATCTTATTTCTCCAGTGGTGTTATCATGCCAACTCTTACAAATAAAAAGAGGGTCAGCGCAAACTGAAATGCAAAGCTGAATTACAATGGCTAGAGGTGATGAATCTCCTTCATTCCAGTTGCCATTGTTCACTCCACAAAGTGCTCTTTGCCTGTTCAAGACTGACCCAAGCATCAGGAAAGGCAAGGCAGGTTTCCTGGGTTACCAAGATTAAACTGCCCCTCTGCTCCTGACTACAGCTACTTTCCCAGAGAGATTTGACTAAATGCTTCTGAGAAGAAGACACTGGTGGAGTGAGACAGACAGTAAAGAGGGTTGTCATGTTTCAATTTTTCACCTTGTCATAGGAAGTATTTGTTTTTCTCTTTGCTTGCTTCATGGTGTGCTTCTGTCTAGATCTGCTTTTCCGCTGTGGTGAAACCCTCTTCTAGACCCTGTACCTTGGATCAGAGGGTTAATGCCAAAGCTAGCAACCAGTAAAGGAACAGTAGAGCACTCTGAGTCTCCTGCCATCCCTTCCTCTGATGAATTTCTCTCTCAGATAAACAGGGGTTAGTGTGTAACAGAAATAATATCACTGTCCATTCCCTATGAATAATGTGGAGAACTGACTAGAGAGTTTCTTTTTATCATTTGCTCAAGATTTCCCAAAATCAATGCCAGATCTCACTATTCTCATTGTTTTCATTCATGGCTTATGGTCAATGAGATTTTTATAATAACTGACCATCATATATATATATATATATATATATACACACACACACACACATACATACATACATACACACACACACATCTATACACGTACATGTATGCATATTTATGTATGTATATCCTACTCTGAGAACTATTTTATCTTAAGTAACATAGTTTGGTTACAACACCAGTACAGGAATTGCAGCAGGTGACTTTCTGTTTTAGATGCTCATCGTCTTGGAAGTCATTAATTATTACCTCATTTGGACATCAAGTTCACATACTGCTTAAATTAAATCTTTGCATGTCTCCAGTCAGTGTTGCACAAAGACTAATTAATTAAACCTCAGAACACCCTTGGGGAATAGGCGGTATTATTTTTCCTGTCCTCAGATGGGAAATCTGAGATACAGAGAGGTTAAGTGGATTGTCTAAGGTCAGAAAGTTAATCAATAGTAGACAGAGCCAGAAAAGAGACTTGGGAATGCTATGGCCCAGCTCTCCTCCCCAATGACAGAAAAAACTCCAAAGGGGCATTCCAAGTACTTCCAAATGCAGCTTACTTTACCCTTTATATTTACTGTCTTTACAAGTCTTTGGTATATATTTTGTATTTCTTTTGAAGGGAAGGTTAGCTAGGCAGAGGAAGAGGTAAGACAATAGAATGAATAGATGTTACTCACCCAAATTACAATAAAAATTTTTTTCAGTGAAAATACTGTAGAAGAGAAACTCACGGGTTGGAAATAATTCTTTTCAATATTATATGCATATATAATCATACATATATTTAATTAAGAAACTAGGATATCTTCTTCCATCCCACCTCAACCATCCCTCCCCACATCCCAGCCCCTCATCTTGTGTATTTGAAAGCATCCTTTCATGTGAAAGCCAACGGATAACGACTCTATTGTAAGAAAAACTAAAAGCCTACTAATAACTTTATAATGATTTATACAAATGAAAATGCCTGGCATGCTATTAAACTTAGACTTAAAAGGCAATGGAGTAAAATAAAATATTATTAACATAAAACTGAAAGAAACAAAAAAAATTCTCAGGCACATGAGACTCAGACATGCATCTAATTTGCTTTTTCCTGTTTAAAAGTGAGGCAGTCATTGTCTTTAATGTTAAAGGGACTTTATGAGCTGATGATTACTAAACAAAATTATTTGCTTTTTAGAGTTATTCTTATTTTTAATTAGACCACATACATTAAAAACAGGGCAAACAGTTAAGACTCCGTGAGGATTTTCCATGTTTAAAGGTCAGAATGTTTTCCTCCAACTTAAAACTGTAGTTGTCCTTCGTTAAGTCGTATACTAAGTAATATACCTGGTTACTTATCTATAACTCAATGAGATCTCTACAATGTTAACAACTCCCTTAACGTGTTGAGACAAGAGTAGTTTATATTGTCTCAATAACAACACAGAGAGTAAATATCTGCTTAGATTTTTTTTTCATTGAAATACAACGGTTTATTTCTTAACAGCTTGAAGCTACACAGGAAAATTCTAACATCAGTTATAACCGCTGCCCTCTTTTATTAACAGTGGTTCTTGTCTCCAGGAAATCAGAAACTGCTGTTTTGCCTTTCATGAACCTTTTCTTTTCCAACTCATTATGTTAACTACTTACACTTTTGTTGCATAAAACATCAAATACACAAGGGTATCCACACAACCAAAGTGTAAAATAAGTTTGTTTTTAGTTTCAGTCAGCAACTAGGACACAATTAATCTCTTATAATTTCGCCTCTGTAGGTTTTAAAGGCAAAATTCATCTTTAAGAACAAATGTTAAAAAAAAAACAAAAAACATTGCTCCCCTTATAATATTTGTTTTAAGCAGTTTAAGTTACAAGAGTCAATCTATGGTTTTGGTTTTGTTCTGTTAACCATGCTACAAGCCAAAACAGCCTGAAGATGTGAGTTTAAAAACTACTTTTGAAATTTCTTTAGAAAGCTTTGGTGTAAGAGGTAATTTAAAACAAATTAATAATGTCATGCAGTGGTTAAATTGCCATAATACCTTTCTGTTTTAGAGGCTCCTGGAATTTCTTGTTTTGTGTTTGTCATGCTGATAGCAGGCTAGAAGTTAGTCCCTTTAACTGTATTTTAATGGCAATGTATTATAGCATGATTTATCAACATATGGCAGGTGGAAGCTGACACAAATTATAATGAAAATTAAAACAGTCATTTATGCAGCAGGCGATTATCATTTAAGGAACATTTATTTGCAGGCTTTAAAAATGAGGGTTTAGGATCAAATGATTTTAAAATGAAAGGTTTAATGACGGTTACCTTTTTCCTGCAGCCACTCCTCTACGGGCCGGTTATATTTGAAGGGGATTTTCTGTTTTACCATTTGGAACCGTTCATTATCAGTGTTGCCTTTAAAGTTTAAAAAACAGCTTAAAGAACAATCTGAAAAGTCAATAAGTCATTAAAAACATCCTAGGTTTTTTGGTTTATGAAGTTTTTAGAGATAGATATCAATTTATCTTTAGTAGAGGTGGAGTTGAAGTCACTCTGCCCTTGATTGATAGTTTTAAAGGTCAGGTTAGTCTTAGCCATGCAGTACCCCATTGTGTTTTGGAAAGGTGGCATGGGATGGGAATCCTTAAGAGGTATGGCCCTTTATGGAAACCGGTTTACCTTCATTCTCTCTCCATCTCATGCCAACCACACGTTCATTGGGCCAGCTGAGGAACAAGGACCTTCTTGACCCACGAGTAATCCACTTGCCAGAATCAGTTTCAGGTCTGAGAGGGGAACCCAGCTCCATAGTCATGCACACTCCACTATTAATCTACTGTATTCCCATCAGAAACATAGGGCCATGTCCTTCCTTTCTTCTCTAAAGTGTCTGCAACAGCTTTATGTTCTGACAGAGGGAAGGCAAAGACGATAATTTAAGCCTTGATGGCCAAGGGAGACTTCTTATTCCATAAAGAATGTCTTGGCATCTCCTTACCTATTTGAAATAGGTAGATCAGTACAGATGGCCTTTCATATCACTATCTTTCCAGATTTGTTCTACATTTTAAAAAATAATTAATGAAACTCAAAGTCAATGTTTGGAAATAGAGGTAATTATAAATACAGTGATGTAACATTTGTAGACTTTTGAGCACCTATATTTTATAATAAACACTGATGTTGTATATTTATCTAGCCTCACCCCACCTGCCTCCCTTCCTCTCTCCCTCCTTCTTTTCTTTCTCTTATCTTCTTATGAGAGGTCCTTCCTGAACAAGCATCCATTCATAAAGCCTGTTAGGAATACTTCTTCCAAGCATGAAATATCTAATTAGTTTCAGGGCTCAAACATCATGATTTTAACTGCCAGTATGCCCCCTCTGCCTTTGTAACTGTTATTACTACTCCTGAATGGTTTCCATAATTAGGACAGGCTTAGAGAGTGGAGCTGTGGAGATACACACTTAATGAATATGCTTCAAATAACAAAATAATGAAGCCATGCCTTGGGAACTGTTCTATCTCGTCAACCAACCTCACATTGACCTAGCAGAAATTAGTGAATTGTAATTCATTACTTTTGAGTCATAGGTCTATATTGCAACTTGGGCAACTCCATTCCAAATGATCAATATTAAAAATGAAAGAAAAATCTCAAAGCAGGTGGCTTGGAAACAATTTAAAAAGAAGTCTAAAAGCCATCAAGAATATTAGAATTGCATATAGCATCAGCCCAAATGAATAGGGGCATGCTAAAGCATTTCAATTGTAGGGCCATCTCCACATGGGAGTTATTACTGGCTGAGAAGATTCCACATGAGAATAAACTGGTACCTACCTTCTGTGTTGGGGAGGTGGGGTGCAGGATGCGGAACGAGTAGCAATGGTGGAGGACGTTCCCAAGTGAAGGTTCCCCATTCACTTCTCATATAGACAAATTATTCTAAAAAGCTAACTCATATCTTTACTATCAGGAATTTAAAAAATAATTACTCATAAAAGAGGCAACTATGGATCTGCTTCTAGCCTACATTTTGCGACCATATCTGGCTGGTTCAGGGTATAACATACTAACATATCGAGAAATAAAATGCAACAAACAACAGTTTTGAATTGCAGTGGATAATTTAAAATTTTCCTCAAAATATTATTTCTCACAGAAAAAGTAAATAGAGAGGGGAGGCAAGAAGGGAAAACAGAAAGGCAACTTAATTTCCTGGTGCTTCAATAAGCCCACGGTGAAAGAAGATAGTTTAACCTGTTAAAATAGCTACTGATTAGAGATCATTATAATGCTCTTCCTTGGTAGATCTTGGTAAAAAATTCTGTTCATTCGAAATTAAGTTTGGGTAAAATTTTTAGATGTTTTCATGTAAAAAGAACGTGTACCTTTTTGAAAAAAACCTACATCTATGACTCATAATCCTACCCTACCGGTGAGATCTCATAAAGAATGTCATTCATCCTCCGGGGGTTTAGACACAACAGAATACCATACTGAGGAACGGTAATTGGCTTGCACCAGATCTGCCCTGAATATATTCTATTACTTTGGGTTTTCTATATCTGCCATTGTTGGCTACACATTAAATACAGTAATGGCCTTCATTCTACTCACTGTGGAAGAGATTAGCAAAGCCAATAGCAAGTATAAAGCTAAATATTCTCAGCAAAATGCAGGGCAAAATCAGAAGTAACTAAAATTACAATTTTTCAGAATTTAATATGCACCAAATTAAGAAGTTGTATTAATTTACTTCCTCCAAATACATAAGGCTCTTGGCCCTCCTAAGCATGCCCACCCCCATCATCTACTCCCTTTCAAATGTAAAGCACCATAGAAGATAATCTGGGGGCATGGTGCAGGCTAGGAAAGGAGATAGCAATGAGTGACATGGGGAAGGACAGCATGGCCATGATTCAACCTTAGACCCTTCTGAAAGTGACAGGGAGTCATTCTTCTCCACCTCAGCTTTAAAGACATTTAGTAAAAAGTTTTAAGTTTTCCACACCAGACTGATAGTATCTGGCACTAAGGATGACAGTCTTGAATGCTGTTAAAAGTTGTGAAAGATGGAAGGTCATTTGGAAAACCAAACTTGTTTAAATTGCCACATTAACATTGTTCTTAGTCTCTTTTCATGTTCTGGTTTTTATTTTAATTTATCTCAAACATTAGTAAAAACTGTTTTAGAAACATGTGCATGAGAATGAGTTCTTTGCTACTTTGATTGAAGAGCAAACAGCCTTCTAAATATAAGTATTCTTATATACAGGGCTACTCTAAAATCTGAACAAACCTTACCAAATTCATATACATTTTTATTAAATCTTTAATGATATTCAGTTGTACATTTCATATAGCAACAAGTATGTATGTACAGTTAAACAAAGAGTGAAATCAATTCTTCAATAGAAAGTGATGGCTATGCTTAAGAAAGAATGGCCTTATGCGTAGTAAACATCATCATATCATTAAAAGGAGGCATATGTGCATTGCTAATTAGACGAAAAAAATGTAATAATGTCATTTCTTAATCACACTGAGAAATCTATAACTTGCACAAAGAGATCTTCAAGTAAACAGTTCTTGAATTACTTCTGAGGATCTGACACGTCTATGGGACTGGATTTTAGAAAAAAAATATCTTAGTCAGATTTCATTGTACTTAAATATACGTGTGTTTATTCCCATAGATTTTTGATTAGGGATTGAGAGTATCACATATTTGGCCTCCTCTGTTTATTTTCATTTGGACCATTGGCTCTAATATCAAGCATTTCAACTCCTGGAGACGTGGACAACATGCACGTGCACTGTGGAATTATAATATTCCGAAGAACAGGCTGCTTTGAAGTCAAAGTATTGAAGCCCAACTGGTTCATAGTTCCAACCTTTACACTCTAACATCCCATTTCCCACTTTGGGTGAATCCACTTAAGATAAAAGGGAAGACACGGAAAGCAAATTGAGTAGGCCCCAGTAGACATCAATCCCTCTTTAAGGTGAGACTCAAAATTTGTTAATAGTCTCAAAGGAATAAAATTATTTCAAGTGAAAAATAGAACTTTTGTACAGCATGGTACATAGGCTTACACTTTATTGGTCCAAACATGGGTCCTATTTATTAGAAGATATACTAATACTCTTAAAGCCATCATCATTACAGCATGGAAGTTAAGATGATGGGCTCTGGAGACAAACCTGGTTTTGAGTTCTAACTTTATCACTTATTAGCTGTGTGATCTTGGGCAAGTCACTTGGCCTCAGTTTCCACATTTCTGAATTTGCCATAGGACTTAGTATGGAATAATAGGGAGTACAGCATATTTAAGCTATTATTATTAATATGACTCTTTTCTAAGGCTCAGAAGCAAGCACATTCGTTCCATGGTGCAGTTCCCTGTCTCACTTCCTTATCAGTTCTTCATTCAAAAGATGACCCTGTTCTACTTGATCCCACAAAAGTCATTTTGCAAAGATCAACTGACCGTAGAAAATGTAACATCCCAAATATCCCTTAAACCTCTATCACATTACGTATTTCTGTATCTTCTAAAATATACTCAGCTAAGCCCATTTCCAAAACAAAGTGGATTTGTAAAACCACTGAAAGTAAAAGAGCAATTCAGGCATTGACAAATGTGATTTCTTGGTCCAGCCACAGGTAATGATGATATACTGCTGCTAAGTTGAGAAAGAGTGGCTTAAAGGTTCTACCAATTTGCACCAGGCAGGCAGAAAGCACTTTCTTGCAGGTAGACTATTAATACCACCTGAAATGTTGTCAAGCATGTGGACATGCTAATAGGAATATCCTAACAACATTCATCTGTGCAAAATGAATGCCAAAGGTATTTCTGACTTTTGTCTTGAGCACCGAAATAAAAGAAAAAAACTTTATTGCTTTGTTCACACTAAAAAGTCAGACTGTGGGTCTAATGAACAGTCAAAGAACCAATGCTGTGTATCAGAGCCAGAGGCAAAAGAAAATCAATGTAGCCGTACTGCTGCCCTCAAGTAGTAGGGCAGTTTGGAGGTTCTTGCCATGTGTCTTTCACCAAATAACACTTTCTAAGTTTCAAAGAAAATATATCACACTAAAGGAAGGGAACTCCAGAAACTCTGGGGTTGGCTCTAGCCACATTTCTGGCATTGTCCCAGACCAACTCTCTTAGAGTCAGAGAGGGAGGTGTTGCACACTCAGAGGGTATCCAGAACATTTGGCCACTTGTAAGCGATAGATGGATCTCAGCAAAGAACGAATATCTTGTATTTATGAAGTGACTTTCGACCAAGGAGCTCAAAGTGCAATTACATAAGCACCATCTCATTCATCCTCACTACACACCTTTGGGGTAGAAGAAAAAAGAACTATTTATATGTTGCGAGCCTTGATCCTTTAATGAGC